TCAGCCAAACAGATCCTGAACAGATCTGCACACTCCATACACTGCTCTGCCATTGCTCAGAGACCAGGCTACCACACCGGGCAGTAGCTCTTGGATCACAAGATTCCAATGCCAAATAGAGCCATAGTTCAGAGATGGCTGAACTCCTCCCTGCATCCAACCCAGTGCAAGTCTAATCTGGAGCCGCACCTTCTGAGCTTCACCTCACCAAACATTCGGAAGGTGTCTGAGAATATTCCTGATAGCTTCACACGTTATACTCTTCTGTACAGGACAACAAGGAACGCCCTTAACTGCTTACCTCCAAGGAGAGTTCACCCGGTGCCTGGGCAACGTATCTCTTAATAACGTGGGCAGCAGCAATAGCTGGGATATTAAGAGATGACTCCTCACGGACCAGCAGGGGCTTCCCGTTGTTCTCAGCCTGAAACACAGAGCACAGGCCACGGTGAGGAGCTGAGGGCAAACGAGGAGGATTTCAGGCTGAGGAGCATGTCAGCAGAGAAAGCTGCAGGAAGTGCACTCCGTCCTTATCATGGGCACACAAGAAGGAACGGCAAGGCTAAGAACATGCCCGCAGCAAGGAAAGAAAGCCTTGAAGGCAGCTTTTCAGTGACACCGATAGAGCCGCAAGGATTCGCTCTCTTGAAAAGCAGGAGAGCACATCTGCAGCTCACTCTGCTGGCTCAAATCAGGGAACAAAGACCAATCAGAGCTCCACACTCTACCTCCATCCGTGTCATGCCAGGCTCACAGCTGATCTCGCTGCACGCGATGCCCATCACAGCAGGCACGACAAGCTGGAATGAAAAGAAACACACTCATATTTTCTCTCTTCACACACCACACTATTGAGAGACTTCTTCAGAACTACCCTTGGCTATCCTCTGGCACAGGCAGGTGCTCTAGAAGCAACCACTCTGTTCACTCCGTTCAAATGGGACAGCCCATTAGGCAGCATTTGACCAAGCGGCTGTCCCTCTGCTAGCAGATGGGGACTGGCACAAAGCAGCAGATGCATTCGCCCAGGGCGCTCTGACAGCGCAGCAGCAGGGCAGTGAGAGGAATCATTGCTGCAGGTGCATCTGCTCCCCGGCCCCGGCTCCCAGCAGCCTCACCACCGGCACCTGCTGCAGCCCCGCACATCAAGGATTTCCTCTGCTTGCATCTCTGCTCTGCTCCCTACAGCTGCCGCGCACACTCTCACAGGCCAAGCGTGCGTGCTTGTGACCTTGGGTCACGCTGTGCAGCTCAGCACAAACTGGGCCTAGGACTCTTTGCCTAAGGGATTGCTTTCCTTCAGACCAGCTGGTCACAGCACCACACACAGCATCCTCCTGAGGGCGGAGCTGCAGGGGAAGGGAAAAAACCCACACGGGACCAGTGTCCCATCAACGCTGGGTGAGGCTGCGTTACCAAACATGGTGCGACACAGTGCTGGTCAACCACGTGGGGGGACAAAGCGTGGCACGTACCTGGCAGGAGATCAGAACAAGGTAGACAATTCCTTGAACTCGCAGCTGTTTCTTGTCACTTTGCTCTGTGCTTCCACGAGCGAAAGCTGCACCAAGGGAGCGGATAGAGGAGAGAGAAGGAACAGGTCTGTGAGCTTGCACAATGGAGCAAAGATGACAAGGGAAAAGCCACGGGACAAATGCCATCTTTGCGGATCGCTTGGGAATGCAGGTACTGGCTGAAAGTTACGTCTGATGGACAAGAGTAAGCAGTACGAGCTGCTAGGAGCTCCACCAGCCAGCAGTTTTCAACAGCTCACTGCCCACCCGTCCATCCCACGCTGTCTCAGCTTACCTACAAGATGCTGCACAAGACACAAGGGTTGAAAACGAAGGCACTCAGTCGCTGCACAAGGGCAACAAGCGAGCTACTCACGCAGAGCTCAAGCGCTCCAATGAAGGGACGCAGCACGCACTGCTCCTCCCCTCATTCCAGCCTCTTGTGACATCACTAAGGGCCACCAGGCTGCTCCGCCATGACGACAGGGTGGGGAGGCAAGACCATGTCACAGGACCAGAAGATTCCAACACCGCACCCAACATTCTAGAATCTGCGGGCCGTTGGAATTCTACCTCAGCCCAATCCTGCACAAGCTGCCATGCGGTTGTCATGACCACAGCGCAGGACCCAGCGCTTGCTCCTGTGCAGCCTCGTACGGCTGGCCTCAGGCCGTCCCTCTGCAGGGCCTTCCTGCCCTCGGGCAGATGGACATTGCTTCCCAACAGCGTACCTCGCAGCGCAGGGCCTATGTACAATCCACACTGCAGTCCTATAGATCTGTATCAAGCTATCTATACCCAGACACACAGTCACCACTACCATCTTCTTTCTGAGTCTTGAGGTACACCATTCAGCGGTTTCATTGCCATCAAACAACCCCACTGACGGCACACTGCTGACACAACGTCCTTGCAAACACAGCAGCAACTCCTGGCACCGATAGCTCCGGGTACAACAAGCACAGGGCTCTGGGTTGCTTTGGATGCAGTTGCAGCATGGATCTGAGGGCTTTGTGGAAGGGGATATATTGCAAATGGCACCGACGTTTTCAGACCATTTCTCTTTCGGCATGGTCCCAGCACCTGGCATGCTGATCATCATCCTGAATATACATTTTGTCAAAGTTCTACAACTAATGAAATAGTTCCTTACCAAACGCAATCTGATCACTCTTCTGGCCATATTTTGTTCCAGCTACCGCTTCCTGCAGGTGGCACCAATAGCGCTGCATCACCTATAGCTCTCTGCTCTTACAGTTCTCATGCTGTCTGGGCAGTCCTCGTGGCCTCACAACTCTCTCATGCCACACGTGCCACATTCTGAGGCACAGAATATATATTGCACTACTTCAAAATGCTTTTTTATTTATTTATTTATTTATTTTAATACAATGATACTAGGGATAATCATCTGGAGCTAGAGCATTATAAAAAAATTCCCTTTAGTTCAACCATAACTCTTCCCCATGGACTCCAGAAGAGCTCTAAGAATATGCAGGGTGGACATGGATGGCAGCTACCGTAAGAGTAAGCAATGTAAAATGAGGTTGGGAGCCACACTGTGTCATTGCATCTGCGGGCAGGGATTCTCCTTGGACTGAGCAGAGTGCAGATGTCGCCTGAGAAAAGAACTTAGGATCATTCAGGAAAAGCAAATGACTGTCATGACTGTAAAAAAATTAATAATTAAAATTTAAAAAAAAAAAAAAAAATAGCATGCAACCCTTTAAAATTTACCTCTCTGCTCTTCTTGTCACCCCGACATCTGAGACAAGCGTTACACATCCCTGCACCTGATTGAAAACGCATCCAAGCCAATGTTCCACACAGCTTCATCTCAGTGCCAAGAAGAAACACATGCAAAAACATTTACAAGATTCTTTGCACAGATGAAAAGCGCAGGGTGCACGTGTATGCTCTTCAGTAATACATAGTATTGTGGAGTCCAAAGGTAACTTTTCAAGAACTAGATGAAATAAAGGTCAATGAAAAGGAAATACGGGATTAACTATTTTCATCTAAAAAATCCTTGCTAAATCTCTCCCCATCAAAAAGGAAGCATGCTGGGCACTGTTAGCAGCAGCTCAGAGAACATCTTACACTGCAAAATGCAGCACATTCTTTTTGTCCACAGGCCCCTCATTTCTCTAACTGGCGTCAGATTCACTCAAAATACATGCACCAGAACGGCCATTCGGATCTGCTGAGAGGAACCCACTGCTGGGATGTCCCCCCATATCCCGTTCCCTGCTATTTCCAGCACTGGGTGGGAAAAGGAAGAGCAACTGACTTCACCAACCCAGGCTTCTGCATGGCCTCCAATACGGTCTCACATCACATCAAGGGAGAAGCACGGCAGAGAGCTCTGGTGGCTGCAGAAATCAAGGTTGCCCCTACGATGGTGCTTTATAACAACATGCCTTACTGCACATGAGACACGAAAGACAAGGTTAAGGTTAAAGACTCCACTCCCAGTGGATGTGGCTGTCTGCACAGACAACAGCTGCCTGCTGTCCAGCAGCCTGATGCTCACCCACCAAAGCACTCGCCCAGCAGATGCCTTTCATAGGAACACAAAGTTAGCAAGGTTGGAAAAGATCTCCAAGATCATCCAGTCCAACTGTCCACCTACCACCACCATTTCCCACTAAGCCCCTTATGTCCCTCAGGACAACATCTAACATTTCTTGATTACCTGCAGGGACCGTAACTCTGTCACCAACCTGGGCAGCCCGCTCCAGCATTGGACCACTCCTTGGAGAAGTGTTTCTTAACATCCAGCCTCAATCTCCCCCCATGCAACTTGAGGCCGTTCGCCCAGTCCTATCGCTACTTACATGGGAGAAGAGGACGACCCCCACCTCGACATAACCTCTCTTCAGCTCATTGTGCAGAGGGATAAGGTCTGCCCTGAGCCTCCTCTTCTCCAGGCTAAATAATCCCAGCTGCCTCAGCCACCCCCCATAAGACTTGTGCTCTACACCCCTCACAGCTTCTCTGCTCCTCTCTGGACGCATTTCAGGCTTTCATGGTCCTTCTTGTAGTGAGGGACCCAGAACTGAGCACAGCACTCAAGGTGAGGGCTCACCAGAGCTGAGTACAGGGGATGATCACATCCCTGCTCCTGCTGGCTCCAGCCCTTTGCACTGCACTTCCAATCTCAACCATCCCTTCTGCGGTAGCGCTTGCATCCTTACTTAGGGCTGGAGCTCAAGAGCTCAACGCAACAGGAAGAACACAGCGTGCAACAGGAAGATGCGTCTCAAAGCCGACAAGAGTCAACCCTCTGAACTTGGGCACAACTCACCAACCGAGAGCCAGGTCTTGCCAGCTTGGCTCATCTGAGCACGCCAGAGGGGGCTGCACATCAGACCACAAGCATCCATTGCAATTGCAGCTCCACGTAGAGAAGAACAACGATTAACAGATGTGAATGAATTCACTCACAAGCTGCATGAATTTGTTCTTCATTAAAAAACCCACATGGATTCCTACGCAAAAAAAGAACGGCAAGAGCTAATAGTGATGGAAGAGGTTCCTGGTCCTAAGCCTCATCCTCTTACCCCAATTTTCCTTGCCTCGTACCCTACCCCAATTCCTGGACGATGCCCACAGACTTAAACTCAGACCTCAACTCCATGAGCTGAACATGAACAAATCTACCCCAGAGCAACAGGATGGCAGACACACAGTGGAAGACAACCAACCTGCAGAACCAGCTCCATTGGGGTTAGTCCAGATGTTTGTATGATCCCTTCCATGGCTCAGGCCAAGCTTGCTGAGCTGCTCCTCCTTTGTGCAGGGGGAGAGCGGTGCAGATGTTATGTGCTGGCTATGCACAGCGTGCCTTTGACTTGATTTTCCTCTCTCCGTCTTCCATTAGCAAACAGCATTTCAAATCTTTCCTTGTGAAAAAAATCACCTATGTAAAAAAGAATTGGCAATCTTGCTTTTGAAGTTTCCTTATTTGTACAACTTGATGTTTTAAAGCAGAAGCTCACCTAGCAATGACCTACCTTAGACAAGCCCAACCTGCAGGGAAAAGTCATTCCTCTGGGTGCAGAGTCTGCAGACACATTTCCAGGGGCAGCAGCCATCCCAGTTCTCAGCACAGCTTCACCAACCACAGAAATCCAGTTGATGCCCGCCATGCTTTTCTCCCTTCTGAAACACTGCATCGCTGCAAGAAGCAAGGAGTAAAGTCACAGAACCACAGAATTGGGGTTGCAGGGGACCCCCAGTGATCATTGAGTCCAACCCCCTGCAAAACGGGCTCCCTACAGCAGGCTGCGCAGGTGGGTGTCCAGGCAGGTCTGGAATATCTCCAGACAAGGAGAAGCCACAGCCTCCCTGGGCAGCCTGTTCCAGCACTCCATCATCCTTGCTGTGAAGAAGATCCTTTGCATTTTGGTGCAGAACTTCCTGTGCTCCAGTTTGTGGCCATTTCCCCTTCTCCTGTCACACATTGCTGACAAGAGGTTGGCCGTGTCCTTTGGACTCTCACACTTAACAAATACATAAGCATTAATCAGATCTGCTCTCAGTCTTCTTTCCTCAAGGCTGAACAGACCCAGGTCCCCCAGCCTTTCCACACTGGGGAGATGCTCCAGGCCCTTTATCATCTTCCTGGCCTTCTGTTGGACTCTCTCCAGGAGATCCTTGTCATTTCTGTACCATGAAGGGAGCCCAGAACTGGATGCAGTACTGCAGGTGAGGCCTGACCAGGGCAGAGCAGAGTGGGAAAATCACCTCCCTTGCTCTGCTGGCCGCGCTCCTTTTAAAGCACCCCAGGATCCCATTGGTCTTCTTGGCCAGCAGGACACACTGCTGGCTCATGGCCGACCTGTCATCCATCAGGACCCCCAGGTCCTTCTCTGCAGAGCTCCTCTCCAGCCGGTCATGTCCCAGCCTGTACTGATACTTGCGGCCATTCCTTCCCAGGTGCAAGGCTCAACACTTGCTTTTGTTCCACCTCATCTGGTTTGTTTCTGCCCAGCTCCCCAGCCTGAATGGCAGCTCAGGCTTTTGGTGTGCCAACCAGGAGTGAGCACGTTTGTTCTGCCCTGTGCTGGGCTCTCTCTCTCTCCACCCTGCACATTTGCCTTATTTTGTGCCTGGCTCGATTCAGAACACCCCAAATCTTTATCTTTTCACTCTGCTCAGCAACTTTCTTAGTGGAAGGCAAACAGCTCTTCCACAAGAGGGCTGTAAGTTCAGTAAAGCCAGCACTACATACAGAAAATACTAAAAGCTTCTACAGCACAAACACAATTTCCCCTTCACAACCAGACCCAGCACCAACCCCCGGGAGCACCGCCGCTCACAGCTCTCCAGCTGCACTCTGTGCTGCTGATCACCACCACTGAGCTCAGCCAGTAAACCTGTTCTCAGCCCACCTCATCATCCACTCCTCTATCCCACACTTTCTCAGCTTCATTACCAGGATGACTTGGGAGACTGTAACAAAACATTGCTGAAGTCAAGGTAGGCGACATCCACTGCAGTACCTGAAATGGTCCATTCCATCCCACTCAGGCTGAAGCCTTGATTTCTGCCAGGCGCGTATTAGGACCAGTCTCCAACACGGGATGAGTGCACTGGAAATTCCAGAGGTGGAGTTTGAGCCAACAGCCCACATCCCTTAAGGAATAACAGAGCAGCAGACAACCCGAGTACACAGTTCTGAAGAAACTTACCCTTGGTTTCAAGAGCGGGCATCTCACCATTCCCAAGTACAGCAACCCAGACAGCACTTCGTGTGGTGATACTCCTAAGCCTTTTCTGTGAGTGGTTCGTGTTCTGACAAGGGCTACAGGCAAACACTTTGTCCATGGTAATTTGGTCTCTGAAACCAATTTTGACAAGTGCTTCTTCAGCATCTGATTGATTCATTCTACTTTCCCTGAAGAAGGAGGGTGCCACAGAGTATGGAGCTCCCACTTCATTTCTAAAGTTCTCATCAGCTCCTGTAGGACCTGTGAAGTAAAGAGGCTTCCCTTATCTGAGTCCATATTCTGCACAATCCCACATGTAGAGATTGTGTCAGAATGTAGAGTCCTCAGTGCAGAAGAGACACGGACCTGTTGGATCACATCAGAGGATGGCCACAAAAAAAAACAAAAAAAAAAAAAGGGATCAAACAGCTCTCCTCCAAAGACAGGCTGAGAGAGCTGGGGCTGTTCAGCATGGAGAAGTGAAGGCTCCAAGGTGACCTGGTAACAGCCGTTCAATACTTAAATTGGAGCAAAAGGAAAGAACAAAGGAAAATTTAGGTTAGGTGTAAGGAAAATATCTTTTACAGTAAGGGTGGTGAGGCAGTGGAACAGGTTGCCCAGAGATGTGCTGGATGCCCTGTCCCTTCCAAGGTGAGGTTGGATAGGGCTTTGATCTAGCTGTGAACATCCCTGTTCCTTGTGGGGAGTCGGAATAGATCATCACAAATGGTTTCTTCCGACTCTAAGGAGTCTATGGTGTGACAGCTGATGCCATGAAGAACGGCGACACAAAGGACGTTGATGGCCTGGTGAGCAATCAGGGCAGGCAGGGAAGCCTGAGTGCTCAGCAGCTCTGGGGACACTCAGCAAGTAGTGCAACCAGGAAGATCCACATCAGCACAGAGCCTGTCCATGACAGTCCCAGTATTCAGCACACCAGAGGCCTTGTTTCATCACACTGCTGGGTCCTGTAGCTGCAGAGCTAGCTATTTTACAGGAGTCAGGGGGTGGAAGGAAGGGGGGAGGCTGGCATTTCCCCCAGAAAACAATTGAAGGGCACCATAAAGACAGGCAAAGCAGATAGAGCTACTCTAAACCAGCTTAGGATCCCCACAGGAATGGAAAGATCAAAACCCTACAATAAAGAAAGAATTGCTTACCTCTTTCCAAGAACCAGAGCCCCCCCCAACAACCCATAGGAGGGGGAGGGTGAAGAGACTGGGAAGAGCCTTGCTGGGAAGAGACACTGCCTTTGGGGCTGCCAGCTCTCAGATGAGGTGAGGGAGGGCTGGAGCCAGGCTCAGCCCCATCTGCTCCCACTGCTTCATTGCTTCCACCTGTGCAGGCAGGGCTGCACCTCTCACCAGGTGCTCCATCACTGCTTCAGGCTGTGATCTCAAAGTTCCCCTAAAAGCAGGAAGGAAAAAATAAAGAAAAAAAAACAACAACACCAGCAGCCAATTAGGTCTGCCTGTCTGGCAAGGGGAGGTTTATTGACGGGCGAGCTAGGATGGCCCATGTATTTTGCTTCCAGTCTGTCCTCCATGGCAATTGGTGACATTTGTAATAAATAGGGGAGCACAGATTTCAGTGCTGATACAGCGAGGTGCTGAGAAGCTGCACGTGCAGCACAAGGGCTGAGATGAGCGGCATCAATGGAGCGAGTGCTGGCTGCCCAGCTGCCAGGCTCAGCTTACGGCTCCCCAGGGAGAAACGCACATCATCTCCTCACACAGCAATTAAAGGCCGCTGTGACGTTATTGGAGGGTTTGGTGTCCTCAGTTGGTGAACCTGGCACCTGCCTGTATGGCAGCGTGTGGCCTTTTGGCTCCAACAGCAATCCAAACCCCACAGAAACAGGCAGGCTGCAATGTGTCCTTCGTGCAGCCCTGCGCTGCTCGAGTCAGAGATCGCTGATGTGCTGCAGTGCCCCATTGCTGCTGCGGCTCCACGCGGGATTGCTGAAGTCGCTGCAGATGGAGAGAAAAGACAGATCATCTCCAGAAAGCACTGCCCGTACAACTTGCCCACGTGCGTGGGGCACGAGCCCTATTTTGGGGACAATGACCCCCACTTGTGGGGCACTACCCCCCCCCAGTGTCACAGCCATGCGCTGAGGGCACCATCACCCCACTGCGCACAGCCATCAACTCATCCCAGGACTCCACGCATCCCACAGGCATCCTTGTCCCCATCCTCAACCCCACAGTGACATCAGCAAGGAGCAAAGCGGGGCAGGGGACATGGGGGGACTTGAGGGGACATGAGAGGGCGTATGGGGACACAGGGACGTGTGAGGACATGGGGGGACATGGGTTTGATGTGTGGGGTCAGAACTACAGAGGTGAGAGGAGGTGACATGTAGATGTGACAGAGGGAAGTGGCAGGCCGTGCCAGGAGGTGCTGGTGCCATTCGAGCAGCACTGCGGGGCAGATGAGCAGTGCCAGCCTAACCTGGGAGCGATGGTGGTGCTCCAGGATGAGGAGCTGATATTGGTCTTCCAGCAGGTAGGAGTTTGTTATCCATACGTAATACTGTACTTCTTTGGCTGTTTTAAAATCAGTGATAGTATGCGGTCTGATCCCATGTCTTTGAAAAGTGTGGTTTAAGGATCGTCAGCTGAGAAGAGCAGCAGAACATGGGGCCATTGCAGGCAGAAGGCATGGGAAAGGAAGTGAGGAAAGCAAGGAGAAAACCTGAAAAAGGAATGGATGAAGAAAGGGGGCAAGACATAGGGGAATGAAGAGGAATGGACGGAATAGCTGTAGAGCAGCCTAAAAAGCAGCAACAAGCTCTGGGAGGACTGTAGTATGCCAGATTCTGTATCGGGTGTATTTGTGTGTGCATGTTGTCATTACCTACTTGGGCCAGGGTTATTGTTGCTTCTGAGCTCCTGCAGTGGGAAGAGGTCGAGCAACTGGTGCAGTCCATGCAGACCTGTAGGATAGGGCTTGGTAAGGACAGCCCTGCAGCCCTCAGCTGGACAAATTTCCTCTGTGTGCCCCGACTGTGAGCTGTACAGTGCCCAGCCGCACTGCTCCAGCTCACAGCCCGCTGCCTGCAGCTGCATCTTTAATTCCTTCTCTCCTGCCCAGCACTTCGAAGGTGCTCCCACAGTCCCCTGCCCACCCCAAAAATGTCAGAGAAGACATCTGGCAGCGAGCTGGAGGAATCCCAGCACCCTGTTTTCCTTCTGCCTGCAGCTCTCCTCTCCTCTCCTCTGCCACACAGGGCTCCAGCCTGCGAAATGGGAATGGTTGGGGGGAAAGGGAGTGCTGGCAGGAGTGACTGCTGCAGCTGGCCGGGGAGGGTCTGCGTACCCCTTGCCCTTGTGGGCAATCTGTCCAGCTGCAGGAAGACCAGAGAAGGGCAGATGGAAAGCTGCAGCTGAGCCTAATGGACCTGCAGAACTCTCAGGCCATCTTGCCAATGGCAGCTGTGACATCAATTCTTTCTCTGCAGGGGAATTAATTTTTCCATCTGTAAACATAGGTGGAGAACTGCGGAAACTTAGGTTTTGTCAATCTTTGTGGAAAGGATGTAAAGATCCCCACGAATATCAAAACTGCAACTTTGTCTCTGCCTGCATAGACCTGCTAGGGCCTAAAACTACCCATTTTATGGCACTGAAAAGAATAAAAAGCCGAAAACGAAACCTGGAGCTGAAGAAAGGCCCATGGAAACAAATACATTAAAATATGAACAAGACAGAGGCTGAGCAAGCATTAACACAGCCCTGTGCTTTCTGCCAATGTGCTTTATTTCGTTATCATTAAATTTGCTGGGCAGTTACATTTTAGTATGTGAATATTTAAAAACAATGCAACACATGCTGGCAAAAACAAGTTTTTTTTTGTTTTTTTTTTTAACAGGCATTCATAAGCACTTAGCACGGCTGTCCAGGGTCTGGAGTAATTTCCCTCTGTTTTCTTTGTCTTTTCCCCCCGCTTCTAACTTCGCGTTCTTCGCCCGTCATCACAAGACAGAACGGATCGCCGAGGACAGCGCCGCGGGTCCCCGTCAATGCCGTCAGAGTTCTTTCCGCGGTCTCTGCTGCCACCTCGTGGCCAATGAGTGGAACTGCTGCTGTCTTCCACCGAGTCCCGCCAGCAGCATAACGCATGCGCCTACAAATCCGGAACTGGCGTTTTAACCGCTCTGCGCAGCTAATCCGCCGCTCTCTATGGTGATCAGTCCTCCAGGTAATAACGGACGTGCGCCCGTACAGGCAAGCAGTCGATTCTTGGACCGCCAGCTTAGCGACATTTTTCCCCTTCTAATCCGGGATGCCCGTCGTCTATTTCCGCCGTTTTATGCCCGAACCCACCCGGGATCGGACCGGTTCGGCTCACAGCTGCCCCTCAGCTCCTCGTGGCATCCAATTTGCTCGCAGCCACGATGAACTAGCAGACGTCCCCTTCCCGCCCCAGCCCTGCACAGTCCCCCAGCCGTTTAAAAGCCCTCTCAGCGGCAGTGGAAAGGAGCAGCTCGGAGATTCGCGGTCGTGGTGCTGGCGTGCAGCAGCACCGACACGGCAGCAACCCGGGACCGGCAAATCTCGGGGAAGCGGTACGCATGCGAGAATCTGGGCGCTGCATTACGCATGCACCAGTAATGGCACTTCACTACGTATGAGCAACTCTTGGCACCGTACTGCGCATGCGCTCGTCCTGCCAGTGCACTGCGCATGTCCGAGACTCTACGACGCAATCCGCAAGCACCACTCTCGGTGGCGCAGTGCGCATGTGCAAATCCGGAGACCGCACTACGCATGTGCCGATCTTGGCAGCATATTGCGCATGTGCTATTGTCTGGAACGCACTGCGCATGTTCCAGCCTCAAAACCTCACTACGCATGCGCCAGTCCCAGCACTGCACCACGCATGCGCCTGTTGCAGCACCACAGTGCGCATGCGCTTCTCTTGGCACAGCACTGCGCATGTGCAAGTCTCTGGAAAGCATTGCGCATGCGGCAATGCGCAGAGATTACTTCGCATGCGGATTTTCGTGTACGCACCTACGCATGCGTTGTTTTTGATTCCTTATTATGCATGCAGTGGGCGCAAGGTCCGCTGGGAGCCAGGATAGTCTGCTGTAGAGGCAGGTCGTCAGACTGCTCAAGAAAATAGACAAGAAGCACAGTCTAAAAGAGAGGAAAGCATTTTTGTGCCAGTGGTCCAGGAATTGGCTGCTCACCCGCACCTTAGGGTTTCAAATAAACTGATCCTTCTTTAAAAGTCTTTGGCACATGCGCACTACTACTTGGAGGACTAGGTATAACAAAGTTCGGCGGATTTGCTGCGCAGAGCGACGAGAACGTCCGTACACCACTTCCGTGTGCCTGCGCGCATGCGTCCTGCGGCACCAAACGTACATGGCCGCAATTCCACCTATTGGCCACGTGGGGGCGGCAGAGACCGCGGGAACAACTGCGACCCGGTTGACGCGCAGCTGCGCCGCAGCTTCTGGCGCTCTGTTCTCTCTTTCTCATGAGGGCAGAGGAAAAACGCAAAGTTGGATTGGGGGTGGGGGGGAACAGACAATAATGTGAACTAAATAAGACGAAGAAAAACTTCGGCAAACCCACCAAATCTGCGCTAAGTGGTTATGAATATCTGTAAATAGGTAAATAACCAACAAAATGATGCTGTCTTGCTTTCTCTTATTCTTCTTTTTTTTTTTTTTAGCCAGCGTCTGAGGTGATGAAAAAGCACAGCGAAGCCAAGGCTGGCTTGGAACGATTAACAGAGCAATGCAAAACAGCCGAGCAACTCGTAGAAGAAACATAGCAGTAACAACTTCGGTACCTGGCCTCACCACTCTGAGATCCCACCTGGGTCGCTCGAGGCTTGTAAATGTCCACCGGATCAATTTTGATATCGAGTGATTTGCCGTCAATTCTTCCATTCACAGCCAGTGCCAGGATCTGCGGCAGGGCGTTCTGACCACAGCACCACAGCTCAACCGTTTGAACAACAGTGGGATTCCCAGGCACGGTTTCAAGGAGTTGGTCTTCTTTGGACCCAAAGGAAGCATTAACATGAAACGAGAGGCCTGCATAAGTCATCGTGAGGCGAGCTTCTCAGCATCACCTCTGGGAAACAGAGAATGGATTTGCCATAAAACTCTCAGTGCAGCAGTAACATACAAAGATATGTAAGAATAATACAGAAACACTTTGCAAGGAAGCAAGGAGCTTTATGACCTCTGTCTGGGAATCCAGCACCATTTGCCCACAGACTCCTCTTTGGCAACTGTTCTAGATCCAGCTGTATGTTCTGTTCCAGAGCACAGCTCAGAACTACAAAGGAAACAAAGGGAATTCTACGCAGGCAGCATAAAAAGAATGGTGTGTTTCTTTCAGTACAGAAAATAAGAAAGTAAGCAGTCAACAACAGAAACCTTCCTAGAATTCTGCGATGGGAAACATAGCGGCAGGGAAGAAAGCATCCACGTTTCTCTGAAGCACTGCTCCAAGGAAAAAAGGAAAATCAGTTTATTTTAGATGTTACCTGTTTGAGGGCATATACCACTCTCACACTTCAAAAGCATTAAAGAAAAAAATAAAATGCATAGAGCAATCTCCTCCACCAATATATGTGTTTGGTCTGGGCAGCAATTGGCACTGCTCTGTATCACAAAGAACTGAAGTCGTGAGCACCGAGCTCCTCAGCTCCAGCCAAACCAACAAAACAGGCAGAATCCTTAAGTAGGACAGCCTGTAAAAATGTCAGAACAAAGCCCCCGATTCTCAGCCTTCTGGTTCCTTTTTGAAAATCCCGAGGTCTCCATGTTAGCTCCACCTCTGGGCTGTAACGGCAGAGCTCACAGGCTGTTGGCAATCCTTGTTACTGGGCAGCAGAGAGTTTAGATTGGACTGAATGTTAGGAAGCTTTTGCATTAGATCAAAAACAGTGCCGCCCTGAGAGACAAAGTATGGGCTAAATAAAAATGGCTTACTTCCTCAAGAACGAAGTTAATTCCTCCTTTCTAGATTACTGAAAGGACCAACGTGAAACAGGATGAGCAGAAAGCAGGGACAGTTTATCTGCAAATTAGCACGGGACATCACATGAGAACAGCCTCAATTCTAGAAACCATCCAAACTGAGGCAACAGCAAAGCTGTGTCCTGTGCCACGACATGCCTGATCTCCTCCAGCAGCGCTGTCTGGGAAAGCTGGCAGCAGATATTCCTCTCTTTGCCTGGACACACAGTCACACACTGTGAGGATGACTGAATCCATGAACTCTACAGGTTTGCTTTGAGGCAGCAGCTTGCCCAACTACACCGGGCTAGTCTACAACAAGAGAAACTGCTCCATGCACGTGTCCACAAAGGCCAGCGCCACAAAGAACTACGATGCCCCAATGCTGCGGTGCATCGCAATGACTGCGCCGACACACGGAAGCCTCTATGGCAAGAGGAGTGCTCCAGGGGCAGCACGAGAAGCTGCATATTTGAAGGAAGCAGAAAAGATGCTGACAGGCTTCCAGCTTTTTTTTTTTTTTCTCTCTCTTCTCTTCGCTTAAAGCTTTCAACCTTCCTTTTTGCTTGTTCAGGATCGTCATGTCAGAGAGCTGCTTCTTTTTCTCCTTTTCGCTGTGAGAAACAACATCGTGCAAAGAACAGAGAGGGACAGATCCCACACTTAAACATCCCAAAAAAAGCAAAATCAGACAAAGTTGCACCTGAGAGGCTGCTTTCCTGCATGTGGAAAATCAAAGGCGAGGTACATCTGGGGCTGCTGAAAGGAATGCCATTTGTTAGAGCAGTGAATTCTCCATCCTGTTCCCAAATTCCTGAGTTTGTTGAGAACCCCAGAAGGACTAATTGCTCTGAGCAGTGACTACTATCAGAGCTGCTAGTGTCCTGAAAGTGCTTGAGAATGCCTTTCTCTCTAAACTGGACTACAAGCCCCAACTCCTGTTTTCTATTTTGCTTCCTCATTGTGTCTACGTACTCTGAGAATGATGGCACTTTGTGCTGTCAGCATCAGCCCAAAGTTGGAGCCTCCTTTGAAAATCGGCTTTACTGCCACGGTTCAGATTTCACACCAGGTCAAGCCTAGCACCACGCCATTCAGGACCAAAGGGAAAGGTGACCAGAACTTCAGCTTGAACTGTGCTGGTGAGAACCCAGGCCTCAGCCAGGGACGATCAGTCAGTAATTACGGACATCCTCAGATTCAGCAGAAGAGCAATATTCTCCAAGGACTGACAAACTCAGAAGCGTAATGTCCAGCAGCAAACACCCAGCAGGTGGAACAGAACATGGTAGATGGAAGAGGAAACAGGATCCTGGATCCAGCAGGATCCTGCTCTTTTTAATAACCCATTCACAATCCCACAACAAATTAGATGTTATTCCAGCTGACGCTGTCTCCTGGAATTCATGTTCCTCTGCTAATAGTGATGATCATATTAGCTGCCTGGCTGAGTTTTATGTTATTTAGCAGCACTTGATCCTTACCAAAGACATTTACAGAAAGATAGAAAAACATTTCTTGCCCCTGTGGTTTGTTTAGTTTTCATATAATGTCACCTGATCCCGCCACTGTCTATCATATTTCAATGAGGTCTATTGAGGTGCTGGAGTAAAGCTGTAAAAAGACAATAAACTTTACTAATTTTTTGGCTAGTTCCCAACCCTCACCCAAACCATTATCTTTCACTTGGTAACGTTCACTGGCTCTCGGCCTACAGCACATCCCCTTTCCATCTTTTTCAGAACTAGCTTTACTGATACACAGCATCCACAAATATGAACAAACATACCTTATCCAAACATTCTCTTTTACCCAGATGGCGCCTCAGGTTTCTCCTTGTCTCTCTCCAGTTAAGCGGGATGGTGATGTAGTTCAGATCGTTAATAAAGCACGTTGAAGAGAACAGCTTGGTGGTATAAGAAAAGAATCCGTTCTCCAGTGCCTGTTGAGGTAACAGGATTCCTGTGAGAGCACACCATCCATAAGCAGCCTGCAGGTGTATGCTTGCTGGCTTTGGGACAATTCCTCATCTTGCCCTTACGGTGCTCCAGTCTGCCCAGCACAGAACAGCAGAGCTGCTCTCAGGGCAGCACTCCACAGCATGGCTCCATGCACAGAGTCCACGACACGTTCCCAGACATACTCTCTTAGACTCAGCTTCTATTGCTGCTAATTTCATTACTAAACAAGCTGGAGCAGTCTGTGTGCAGATCAATGAGTGCCTCTGTGTGGGCTCAGAAAAGCTGGAACAGCCCATCCATTTCTGTTGATAGCAAAAGTCATTTCCTGTGAAATGGGGAATGTGCTCATTATTTGCACAGGGTTCAAGATAAGAATGTTGCCTGCAAGTTGTCACCAAGTCTCCGTTTCTATCTTTACCCTCAGTAGTCATCACTTATCCCACTGTAACAATCAGAAAAATCAACACAGTGGAACGGTGACACAGCAGGTGCAATGACAAAGGAATTAGTGTGATGGAAAAGCGTTACAAAGAAAAAGAAGTGCTCACCTGCCTCTGAACACCTCGGCTCACAAGGAAAACTCCACAAGGAAGGGATCTCCAACAAGAGCTCCTTCCCCAGAGGCAGTCAGCGCTTAAATGAAGTCTAAGAGAGGTGCTGCCAGGCTCCACCTCACACAGCTGCCTTCACCCACGCTCCCATGGCTGACCAGGTCCTTACCCCAGGTGCTCGATCAGTGGTTGAAACCGTGGCTCAGCAGTTCCCATACACCCCCAGAACATTCAGAAATGGCAGTTAGGAGGCTTTTCCTGTGTGTGCTGAATCTTTCACGTGAGGTATTTCAGCATTTCATATGTAGCATCCGGCTGTGTGGAGCCACTGGGATGGCTGTGAGCGTGCAGGGTTTTTAAGTCACTACAGCTTTCAAAACAAGTCACTGCAAACTGGGGAAGCAATGCACGCTTTTCCTCAGATGAAAACACGTAGTATTTGGCTAACTTGCATTATCTGAACACAGCCTTCATAGTGTTCAAACGGCAGTGCAGTTGCTGTGCATGGCCGCATGCAGTCAGGCAGCAGTCTGACTCCAGAGCCATGCTCCCGCTCCTGCTGGGCAGTGAATGCTCAGTGAGGCTGCAGGCACAGCTGATGACTGTACATCTGTACACCTGTCCTGCTTCACTTCAGGGAAAGATCCAAAGATAAAGGGCAGCATTCTCAAGTGGATGCTTGGAAATAGCAGCTAGAAAGAATTGGTCACAATGTTCACAGTCGTAAACAAACAAGAGATGGAAGAGATACCGTTGTAGAAAGATCTTGAGTGAGGATCTTGTGACAGTGAAGATGCAGCAGGAATGCCCCCACATTGCTGAAGCAGTTCAGTTCACAAGATGGCACGCTCTGGCGTAACTCAGTGTGCGCTTCTGGCATTTTGCAAAGAGCATGTCTTTCTCCAGGGTCTTCAAATATTCTCTATACACTTCAGAGTATTATGCTACCTGATTTTCTATATTCTACAGATGGGGGGTGCACTGTTAAAGCTGGATGCTTGGTCACACTGTTGTTGCAGAGGACGTATGCGCACACTTGCACCCTGTGCACACATAATGATACTGATCTACTTCTCCCGTTTCTTTGAATCAGTGAAATTCTTGTCTAACTGATGATTCTCATGAGTAATTAAAATATTTCCCAAATCGGAGTGGTGATACTGATGTGAAGGTTTAGGTTGACTTCAGAAAGCTGAATCGACATGCTTTCTGATGGACACAACTTGACATACAGTCTATGGTGTGACGTGTGGGACAAACAAAGAAGATATGGAAATGCAGATGCTAAAGTTGGAATGTTTCACTGGTAAGGTTTGGAAAAAGGATCAGTAACTCCTAACTGCGAGCAGTCAGCCTCACGATGGTTTTTGCTTTCCTGCACTGTGTTACCATAGCAAGTATTACCATTTATGTACTTTAGAAAAATGTACTCCAGTATTAATTCATTGTTGTCATTTTTCCCATCCCATTCTTCATTTTCAGAAACGCAATCATCTGTTTTTTTCCTTGGGAAGGTGAAGATAAGGATGAGAAACATATCAAATAAAGGCTCTAGAATCTATCTATACACACCCAGATTCATAAAATGTTAAAAAAGCACAAATGCTCATAGAAGAGCTTTATATCTCTGACAAGCTAATTGGTTTGCTAACTGATTTTTCTTCAGGATAAGAATGGAAAAAATTGTCATAGCATTTACTGATATCAAAGTAACTGATTAAAAATATTTTCTGTATTAAGGTTGATGTTTAATTAGCTTAGCTCTTGTGAGCCTGAACTGCCTGAAAAAGAAATCCCCCAAAAGGCTCAATAAAGCCCTTCGTTATTATTTTCCTTTCTGTGATTCCATGAAGCATATCTACAACCACACCGTGCTGCTTCAGAAGTAATTGCGTTATGTTAAAGTGCGACTTAATGGAGTGGCAGTAAAGCTGCTACGTAGAGATGTCAATATAACCATTTCAATTAGTTAAATAGTTGCTTCATCAAGTTTTGCTTTTAAAGAATATCCAGTCTCATGCATATTTTACCGTAGCAGAAGTAACTCGCACCAACTACAGAAGCAGCAATTTTGTGCCAAGGCTCTGGAGCAAATCCAGCAGCAGAAGTTGAAGTTATTTTGCCTAGAGTGGAAAATCTGCAGGTGCATTAGCAGGACGAGTGCAAGGGTTACAAAATGACGTCATTGACAGCAATGACTTCTGTATCAAGGAGGAATTGTTCTGGGAGTGCTGCTCTGCATTGCCCTCAGGAGAAGCTGCACTGGGGCTTAGGGAAGCAGATGTCACTGAGGTACAAGCAGTAACTTTTTCAGACGCTTTGTAGTGATTTCAGCGTCGTAGACACTTGGAGGTTCTTCGTGCATTCCAGCCCTTTTTGACGCTGTCCTGCGATGGGCTGACAGCAAACTGACATCTGTGTGAGAAGGAGCCCATCTAGTTGCTTCAAAGAATTCAGTAATTCCTTTCACTCTTCAGCACGTGCTGTTTTCTAACAGGAAGCTGTGCTCTGCAGGGCTGACAACATGGTATGTAACAGGCTGAGTTAGAGTTTACTCACTTACTGATCTTAAAATATTCTCTGCTTTAAGCAGAGGCAATAGCCAGGCACTGCTGCTGTTTCAATCCCTTCCTGTGACTGCTCTTACCACAGGGCAGCTCAGGAACTCCAGCCTGTGGTTCTGTTTAACGAGCACTTCAGCAATACTGAATGAGCCGCCCTGCTGCGTCCAACAGGCTGCTGTGGGCTGGCATTGCAAGCAGCGATGGACAAAATGCTGTGCAAAGGCAACTGCTTTGGTTCTCAATCTACCCACTCCTAACGTTACCTAAACGGATGATGGCGTGCATTCCTCATGTAAGAAAGTGCAAGACTGAGCAAAACAAGAAGGAATTCCCTGGGTATTTCACACTCCATACTACCCTCAGTTAAATGGGGTCGTAGAAAGAGCTGGGGGCTTCCTTTAAAAAACCGGGCTTAGTGCTTCACTTACCAAGAAGAGCTGATGTCCAACAAACCAGCTGCAATGATCACATCACCATATTTTTATGCTGTGTTTATGACTTTAAATAAACCTTATAGCCTGCTTATTTGAATAGTGGTACCAAGCATAAAAATTAGGGCATAATCATTTTCTTCTATTTTCCTCTACAGAATCTTGCAGGATGATAAATGGAAATGCTGCATTCATACTTCTATTTCAGTCACCAATAGCGCTCCTGTTTTTAACTTTAGGCCAGAAAACACCAGGACAGGCATGGACTCATCCCCTTATTCGTTGGATGGGGAGTATGAGAACAAATTCTAATTGAAAAAACTTGAATCTCTCAAACAGTCACGCATGGGAATTGAGTATACTTTTACATAACTATAGATCAATACTACTGGGATAGTACCAACCAAACGCAGCAAATTTGAAAGGCGATTTCAATCCTGGTTACATTTAGGCAATTGAACTTATAATCCCATCAACAGCAAGACCACTGCTTTTATTTTTAATAATACACAATGCTCTAGTATTTACCAGCCACCCAGTTGATGTGCTAGGATTAAATAACAAGGGGACTATGCCCATTGGAACACAGACCGCAGGCCCAATAACACTGAAAACAAAAAGGATTTGTTTATAAGAGTAACACCATCAAAGCCCACCTCATTTTTCTTGACAACAAGGAAAATATCTGTCATTTTGAAACACATCTCAGTAAAACCCCTGAAACTGTAATGGTGCCCAGTGCAAGAGGATGTGTTTGAACAAGAGCTCGTCGCACTGGTGCCCCAGCAGCCAGATGCTCCTGGGCTGCAGGGCCTGGAGGAGATTGCCACACGCTGGGCTCTTGTACGGCAAAAGAAGGCAATGAGGGTGTCTTGTAATGGGATATGAGAACGACGGAGCAATAGCAGGTAAGAAAGAACAGAACCGGCTCACCCTTCCAACCATCAGTGGCAGCTCAAGAGGAGTGCAATCTCTATCCAAAGAGATGCTGCTTCCTCACCTACTCAGCCTTAAACGAGGGTGAAGAGGGGAGGACAGCTGGCACTGGGCTCCCTGGGGCCGCCTGCCTTCTCACCTCGTGCTCAACCACTGCTTCAGACCCTGACCTGGCAATTCCATTGCAGCTCTTTACGTAATTCAACATGAGGGCATTTCTGTTAATTTGTGGGAGAACAACTCCTGTGAGATCACAACAGTGCTCAAAGGCTAAAACAAAAGACGGTTTGGAGAAACAAGCTGAGTTTGTACATGTGCAATTTAAAAGTATACAAAAATGCAGCGACTTTGGTAACAGCCGAAAGCAATTTTGATACCATGTATGTTTTTTATCCTCAATTCTTCAGTATTCTCACTCTTCCACTGCCTCCATAAAGGGATATGGCCCAGGATGTACCTAAATAAAATTATTTAAAAATTTACAGAGACTTTTTGTTTCCCTATGAACAAAAGACTTATGAAAGAAAACTATGAAATATTCTTGGCTATTTCTTGCACTTTCCCACTAATAGCATGTTTTTTATTTTCATCTGCAGTTTCCATATGCCTGTCATACTGAATATTGGGAATAGATGTGAGAAACAATCAAGAATACACCCCTCAGGAATTCTCATCCTGAATCCATGGAGCTTTCTCTCCTTACATGTCCTGTTTGAAGAGAGATGAAGACTGCTGGTATAATGTTAAACCAAATTGTAGTGATTTTAGTCTAAGAAAAAAAAAAAAAAAGTAAAATATTTCTAAGCCAAAACAAAAGGATTAATCTCTTACTACAGTTTATTGGATAATGTGGAATCTTTAAAGGTGTTTACCATACTCACTGATTTCCCTTTCAACCATTAAATGTAACAGACTTCTGAATGGCTTCCATATATTTATGTTATCAACATATGTGGGGTTGAGAATGTTAAGAAATTAATAGCATATGAAAGTTTGTCAGTTATGATGCTGCAGATGTTATGACACTGAAATCGCATTTTAAGCAGCCCAAGATTGATGCCATTTGCAGTAAGTGTCCAGTCTTTAAAATGCTATGCAAAAAGTGTTTTCCAGGCATATGCAGAAAGAGCACTCACAG